GATATCAAGAAAGATTAAAGTTATAAAAAGGAACAAAACAAATTCTGGAGCTGAAAGGTATAATAGCTGAAGTAAAAATATCTCCAGAGGTGTTCAACAGCAGATTTAGGCAGGCAGAAGGAAGAATCAGTGGACTTGAAGATAGGGCCATTGGAATTATGCAGCCTGAGGAGCATGAAGAAAGAATGAAGAAAAGTGAATGGAGCCTAAGGGAACTATGGGATACCAGGAAGCACATCAACATATACAATATGGAAGTCCCAGAGTAGAGAAAGAGGGGCTGGCCAGTTAGCTCAGTTGGTTACGGTTTTGTGCTGATAACACCAAGGTCCAGGGTTTGACACCTGTACCAAATAGTTGCCAAAAATAAATAAATAGAGAAAGAGGCAGAAAGAATATTAGAAGAAATAATGACAAAAAAACTCTCCAAATTTGATGAAAGACATGAATCTACACATCCAAGAAGCTCAAGAACTCCAAGTAGAATAAACAGAGAGATCCACACCATGACATATTATAATGAAACTGTCAAAAGACTAAGAGAGAATCTTAAAAGCAAGAGAGGAGTGCCTTTCACAGATAAGGTATGGGGAAAATAGGATAATTTAGTCAGGCTCCCTCTACATTTCTTGTAAACAAGTTGTGTGTTGGTGGAGTTAGTGCACAGGTGCACCTATGTATGTTTCTAATAAATTGCTGTGTGTTCTTCAGTTTGTGAAGCAGGCTGGCCCGCAGAGAGCTCACGTCTAAAAATAGAGCATGTTTACTCTGGTGGCAGCTGCTCAGTTTTCAGTTTTTCTTTGGACTTTGCCCTTAGCAGTTAAGTTTCTGAGTTTCTCTTTGTACTACCTAGCTCATAGTGTTGTGTGTGCTGAATAAAGACTATTCCTACTTCAACCAAGGCTCCAAGGACCTTTTTGCTGGTTACCTAGCTCATAGACCTGCGTGTGAAGGGTTTGTGAATGGGCTTGAGGGGTCTGTCAGCTTCAGACCCTAGCCCTAGCTCACCAAGGCTCCAAGGACCTTTTTGCTGGTTACCTAGCTCATAGACCTGCGTGTGAAGGGTTTGTGAATGGGCTTGAGGGGTCTGTCAGCTTCAGACCCTAGCCCTAGCTCTACATAAGGGATCCTCAATAATTTCAAGAGCTGTCTCATTAGAAGTCATGCTGGCCAGAGGCTGTGGGATAATATATTTGAAGTGCTGAAAGAAAACAATTGACAACCAAGTACTTCATAACTGACAAAGTGATCCTTAATAACTCCTTTTAGCATTTCTTATAGGGTAGGTCTATTAATGGCAAATTACTACCGCTTATATCTGGGAATGTCTTAATTTCTTCTTCATTTTTGAAGGATCCTTATCAATAGTCACCTTAAATTTAAATGCATTAAATTCCCCAGTTAAGAAACAGAGATTGGCAGAAGAATAAAAAAATGATTCAGGCCAGCCCATGGCTCACTTGGGAGAGTGTGGTGCTGATAACATCAAAGCCACAGGTTCAGATCCCTATGTAGAGATGGCCAGTTAGCTCACTTTGGAGAGCGTGGTGCTGACAACACCAAGTTAAGGGTTAAGATCCCCTTACCAGTCATCTTTAAAAAAAAAAAAAAGATTCAAATATGCTGCTTGCTTACATGAAACTCTCTGTAGACTAAAGACAAGGGAATAACTTTAAACCTAAAAATAGTTTGAAAATGAAACAACATTCCATGCAAATAGTAACCAAAAGAGACCTGGGGTAGCTAACTATTATTAGAATAAAATAGATTTTAAGTCAAAAATTGGACATTATATATTGATATAATCACAATTCACCAAGTAAATGTAACAATTATAAACAAATACACACCAAACAACAGAGTCCCAAAACCAAGTGAAGCAAACACTGACAAAATTGAAGGGAAAAATAAGCAATTCTACAATAATATTTGGATTTCAATAACTTAATTTTGATAATAGAACATCCAGACAGAAAAGCAATAGGAAAATAGAGGATATGAACAACACTATATACCAACTAGACCTAACAGGAATAAAAATAATACTCTACCCAAAAACTGCAGAATGTATATTCTTCTCAAGTGCACATGTAATACTTGCCAAAACAGACCACCTGCTAGGCCATAAAACAATTCTCAATAAATTTAAAATAATTGAAATCATACAAAGTACCTTATAACAGAAGTAAAACTGAAAAAAAGCAAATACATGGAAAATGTACAACACATTCTTAAATGCTTAATGGGTCAAAGAAAATCACTAAGGAAATTAAAAAATATTTGGAAAGAGGGATAAAAATGAAAACACAACATACCAAAACTTATAGGATACAGTAAAAGCAATACTTAGAAATTTCTATCTAAATGCCTATGTCACGTTCATTAGGATATTACAATAAATAAATAAATGAATATCAAGTGTTGGCAAGAATGTAGAAATACTAGAATAGAACCCTTGTGCATTGCTGGTGGAGATGTAACTGGTACAGCCACTATGGAAAACAGTATGTCAGGTTCTCAAAAAATTAAGTATAGAATTACCATATGATCCAGAACTTCTACCCTGACTATATACCCAAAAGAATTAAAAGCAGAGACTGGAACATTCATAGCAACATTATTCACAATAGCCAAAAGGCAGAAACAACCCAAATGTCCATCAACAGATGAATGACAGACAACAAACAAAATTTGGTATATCCATACAACTGGAATACTAGTTAGCCATAAAAAGTAATGAAGTACAGACACATGCTATAATACAGATGAACTTTGAATATACTACATTAAGTGAAAGAAGCCAGACACAAAAGATCACATATTGTATATTTCATTTTAAATGAAATATCCAGAATAGGTCAATCCATAGATTCATAAAGAAGATTAGTGGTTGCCAAAAAGAGGATGAGGAAGGAAATAGAGAGTGATTAATTAATGGATATGGGCTGACCTTCTGGGATGATAAAAAAAAGTTTTGAAAACAGAGGTTGTGGAGCTGAGCCTGTGGCGCACTCGGGAGAGTGCGGCACTTGGAGCGCAGCAGCAGCAGCGCTCCCACCGCGGGTTTGGATCCTATATAGGGATGGCCGGTGCGCTCAAGCGCGGTGCAGCTGGTCACAAAAAGGACAAAAAAAACAGAGGTTGTGGTTGCACAATACTGTGAATGCACTAAATGCCACTGAATTGTACACTTTAAAATGGTTAATTGTTAGTATGTTAATTTTTTTTTTTTTTTGTCCTTTTTGAGACTGGCCGCACCGCGGTCAGCCAGTGAGCACACCAGCCATCCCTATATAGGATCCGAACCCACGGCGGGACCGCTGCTGCACTCCCAGCGCCGCACTCTCCCGAGTTCGCCATGGGCTTGGCCCGTTAATTTCACCCCAATTAAACATTAAAATAACAAAACAAAACAAAAAAGAAAGAAATACAGTGTGTATGCTATATATTACATAATATCCCCAGCAAGATCCAGGGCAACACTCTGGAATATAATGTATTAATACTCTCCAACAGAACTTTTAACTATTCAGAATAAGAATAACTACAAAATAAACACACACATAGGCACGCATAAATAGCCTCATATAAGTTCAGTTCAGGTTTTGCTACCCAATAAAATCAGGTCAGATCATTACTTAGGGTAGAAAACTACGTTTGTCATACCAACGACTGTTATGAGTGTAGTTGCATCCTCCAAAACAACATGTTGAAGTCCCAATCCCTGTGAATGTGACCTTATTGAAAATAAAATCTTTTCAGATGTAATTAAGATGTAAATTAAGATGAGGTCAGACTGGAGTAGGGTGGGCCCTTAATCTAATACAATGCTGTCCTTGTAAAGAACAGACACAGAGACATACACACATGCAGAGGAGAATGCCATGTGAAGACAGACACATGGAGGGAAGGTGGCCATGTGCTGATGGAAGCAGAGATTGGAGTGAATATAGCTGCAAGCCAAGGAATGCCAAGGATTGCCAGCAACCCCTACAAGCTGAGACAGCATGGCTCTGCTGATAACTTGACTTTGGAATTCTAGCCTCCAGACCATAAGAAAATAAAGTTTAGGGCTGAGCCCGTGGCGCACTCGGGAGAGTGCAGCGCTGGGAGCGTACCGACGCTCCCGCCGCGGGTTCAGATCCTATGTAGGACTGGCCGGTGCGTGCGCTCGCTGGCTGAGCGCGGTGTAGGCGACACCACACCAAGGGTTGCGATCCCCTTACTAGTCACGAAAAAGACAAAAAAAAAAAGAAAAGAAAGTTTAATTACTGTAAGGCACCCAGTTCGTGGTACTTGGTTACAGCAGCCCTACGAAACTAACACACTAGCCAAGGTACCACTTGGATTCGTAACTGTAAACTGCTTTCCAAATTTCAATTTATGACCTCACCACTAAGAGAATTCCCCTTTTAACACATCTTTGATTATATGGGGTCATTGTATTTATTTATTTATTTATTTATTTATTTATTTATTATTTTTTTTTTTTTTTGTGGCACAAAGCCCACCTTGTTGAAGGAACAAGAGATCTAGCCCCCTTCTGTTTTGCAGGACCACTTCAGAAAGGGAAGTAAGGGACTCTTGTAACTTAGTAATGGAGCTTTCTATTTCTTTAAATATCAGCATCTATGGCTGCCTGCAACCTTTGGTAATTCTGATGCTGAATAACTAGAGCCAAGGCTCCTGTTGCTGCCCCAGCTGCCCCCAATCCCAAGCCTAGGAGGACAGAGAGCGTAATACTTAGGGGCTCTCTTTTAGTTCTGTAGTTTCCATTATTTTTATCCCAATATGATAATAGTTCCTTATATGGATGATAAATGAGCCGAGGCAGCAGCTGGGTCATTGTATTTAATAAAAAAACTTATGTGACATATTTCATGTCCTTTTCATCTATATTTGTTGGATTGATTAAAATGTTTCAAATATTTTAGATATGGTCTTAAAGATGTAATTGAATCACTGTATATTTTTTTCCCAACTTATAGATACAAACTTACCTGAGCTTTTCCAAGGCACTTTCTTGTTCAATGCGAAGTTTATTTAAAGATGTGTTCTCAGCTTTAAATTTTTCTATTTCTGTTTCCAATTCAATAACTTTCTCTCTCAAACCCTGGGATAGAGCACTGTCACCTATGAAATAGGCCATAAATACTGAACTTCATAAAAGGCCTTTACAGCAGCAAAAACACTGGTAGCTATTAACACTAAGAGCCAAGAATATGGTAAACACCTGTGCTGTTAAAGTGCATTAGACACAATGCTTCAAATAACAAAAAAGGAAAAAAAATTAAATTGGCTTAACTTTACAGAGGAAACCAGTCTAAATGAAGAATTAAATTATTCTACTTCAAAAGAGTATCAACCTGACGAGGAATCAACATTATACAATAAAAAGAAATAATTCAAATCAATTTTCTAAAAGACCAATATACCTGTATATAAATACCTTAAGAACATCAATAAATAATTCACAAGAGATCTAAAGGGCTATTCAACACCAAAATCAAAGTTTATCCCTGATTGCTAATCAAAGAAATGTAAATTAAGATTTTTTTCCCTTATCAAATTTATGATTTAAAAAAGCAAAATAGCCAATGCTTCTGTTCTTCAATTGAAACAAGCATTTTTATCTACTGGTACTACCCTTTTGGAACATAAGTCTTATGTATATAATAAGGCTAAAAAGCTGAGTCAAGTTATAATATATGTCTCTATCAATTAACAATACATAGAAAAAATGACTGGAAGGAAATATCCCCAAATGGTACAGCAGTTACCTTTGAGTAGTTTAGCTATAAATATTTCTGCTTCTATGCTTTTTTTTAAGCTTCTAAACTTTGTGCAAGAAGCATTACTTTTAAAATCAGAATTTTTTTAAAATGCTTAAGTTATAATCTATATTTTAAAACACCTATGCTCTTCTAGGCATTCAGAGTTCATATTATAATACAATAGAAAGCAGTTTTCCAATGTTAAGTTTGAAAAGTCCATTGCATCAACCAAATACTACACAGTCATTAAATGGAATGAGGCGGATATGTGTATATGCTAGAACAATCACCAAAATTTATAAGCAAGGTGCACGACAGTTTGTAAAAAGCGTGTGTTCATTTGTGTAGAATTGAAATTATACACACACTCATAATATGCTTTTATATGCATGGACTCTTTATATATTAACTTTTTTGGCAGCTAGCCAGTATGGAGATCTGAAACTTTGACCTTGTTGTTATAACACCATACTCAAGCCAACTGCACTAACCAGTCGGCCTGTGTGGATTCTTTTTAGAATATACAAACAAAATGGTAATGTTGATACTTCTAGGACAGGGGACTAGGAGCAGGTCTGGGGAAGAAAGGAAACAGATTTTACTGTATTCCTTCTTGGTCATGTTTGACAAGTTAATGCATGAAGTAATAAAAAAGAAAAAAGAAAAAAAATATATATATATGTGTGTGTGTGTATAAAAATTTAAACAGTCACAAAAAACATGCGTATACACAACAGTTCACCCCACAGTAACACAAACCATAAACTGGGTACTCCCTGGTTGTAAAATTAAATTAAATCTTATCTCACTTTAAAATTAATTTTAAAGCCTTGCGAAAGATAAAACACAAGTTTAAGTCTGAAAAATTGATAACACAATTCATCTGAATCTCTTATACTTACTACTATCATATTATTTACACCCAAAAATAAATAAAAAATTTAAAAATCACCCATTAATCTACTGAGCAACAAGGTTAGATTTTAAGCATTCTGACAACATATTAATAAAACAAATGTTACATTTACAACATGCTGATACATATTTTATAATGCTCTGACTCACCAGGTGATTGGTCTTGACTTATGTTTAACTTGGGTTCATTTCCCAAGTGTGAATCTGATTTTGGTTTTGGTTTCAAAGAAGGGAAGAGTTTCATCATCAGTTCCGATGCAGGAGGAGGACTTCTGTTCCTCCTGGGCTCACTCAAGTCTTCTCCCTTCTTGACTGGTGCAACCTTCCTTTTTATGGTTTTGTCCAGGATACATATTTCACTCTTATTAGAGAAGCGTGTCTGGGGAAGCCCATAAATGTCTTCATCCCCAAGAATAACATCATGTTGACATGAATTCTCTTCAAGGTCGGTCCAAGTTCTTTCATCATCAAAGTCAATTTTACTCATACTTAGAGGTGAGGGTCTTCTTGAGGAGTCAGATACTTTATTTTTTATGACTTCTATTAATATAGGCTCATCACTACTATAATCTTTATCAGACAAATCCAGATCAACATCTCTCCTTTTATCTTCTTTAGTCCTGGTATCCCTAAAAGGCCGCCTGCCGTCACAGACTTGTGGGCTATCCTCTCTGCTGCTGAAACCCCTTTCTCTATCCTCAGCCAATGGTTTTATAGGAACATCAAGCTGTTCCTCAGAACCAGTGCTACTATCACTGTTTGTAACACCTTCTTCATCACTTGGATTCCATGGAGTTTGATTTTCAGAGGTGCCTATTTGGAAGGCTCTCCTCCTGATTTGACAAGACTGTTCCCTCAACCCATCAGGTGAGGACACTGAACCAAGTTCCTTGGGTGTGACCTCACCCTCACTCTTCTTTTCCCGTACAGTATGGCCTGGATCCTCACTGTGGTTACACTGACTAATTGGATCCACTGGATTTCTCTTCTCCTGCTGCACAGCTTTGACAGGGGTAGAAGATATCTGGTGACCTTTGCAGATCTGATGATCTCTTTCTAAGATTTTCAGTACAAATGAGGAATTACTAGAAAATGACATTTCATCAGCAGCTTGTTCTAAAAACAAAAATTCATCTAATTCCAAATTTTCCTTTTCCTTTTGTCGTTCCCAATTCTCTAACTTTTTCTGAAGAGAAACATCAAGAGAAGACTCAGACTCTTTCACAGCCTCACTTATTGGGCTCTCAGAAGCCACACAGCTGACCGGCCCTGTCGAAAGAGGAACTCTGTCTTTACCTTGTGTCCTATTCCACACTTTGCAACCAGTATGACAAGGTTTTATACACTCAGGCAGATTTTCTTTATTATTAGATTCAACTTTTTTTTCTAATCTGATCTGGTCTCTAAATTGCCCATCACATTTCTTCCCCGTGTGCACTTTCAATCCTGACGGAGAGATTCCACTTTTGCCATTATTACTCTTAAGTACCTTTGGCTTCTGACTGAGTGTGACAGAACCACTCTTGGTTCTAACTTTATTGTCCTTTCTAACAGTAGGGTTCTCTGCACACAGATCTTTATTTATAAGAGCAGTCTTCCGCTGGAATGGTTGTTTTTCTATTTTAAACACAGGTTGGACCTCTGAAGTACTCTGGTTAGTCACTAGTTTACTTTCTTTCCCTTTTTGAAACTTAGATTTAGCATTAGTAAATCTAGCTAAACCTTCTCCTCGTTTTAAGAATGGTTGTTTTGGTTTTGCTTTGACTAGCAATGGTCCTTCTGCTTCCTAAAATAAAATACAATATTTGAATTAATTCGGGTATATCCAAGTAATCTCAAAGCTATTTTCAAAGCAAAGTATAAATAAATCTCTAAAACCTTAGAAATATTTAATCAAAATAGTGCAAATGCTAACCCTTAGCTGTTTTTGTTTCAGTTCTTGTTCTTCCAACCGAATTTGTTCTTCTAAGAAGTCTTCAAATGTCTGTTTCCTTTCTCTAATAGCAGCTTTAATAGGCCTAATCATAAAGACAGTTATTTAAAATGCAAATCATAATTGTGTGAATACTTTACACTTACTCTGCCTAATATAGATACCCTTGACTATACTGAGAACTAACCTTTTTCAAAGTCAGGGACCCCCTTTGAGAATCTAAAGAAAGCTACAATCTTCCTCCACCCCTCCACAATACAGAAACATACAAACTCTGCACATGATTTGGGGGTACTCAAGAACCCTTCTGAGGTCCATCTATTGACTATGGATTAGCTTTTGGAGTAACATATTCGTTATACAACTTTAAAATATATTTCAAAACTAGTTCATTAAATATGCATTTTTAAATTAAGAAAAGTCCTTAGCAATGTGAGTAAATAAAACAACAAAGTTATTTTGCTCATATCATAACATCAATCAATATTTCTTTTTTTTTCTTTTTTTTAAAAAGATGACCGGTAATGGGATCTTAACCCTTGACTTGGTGTTGTCAGCACCACGCTCAGCCAGTGAGCGAACCGGCCATCTGTATATGGGATCCGAACCCGGGGCCTTGGTGTTATCAGCACCGCACTCTCCCGAGTGAGCCACGGGCCGGCCCTCAATATTTCAAATATAAGAAATAAATAATGGGCCGGCCCGGTGGCGCACTGGATAGTGCGCCGCTTGGGAAGCGCGGCGGCGCTCCCGTCTGAGGGTTCGGATCCCACATAGGGATGGCCGGTTAGCTCACTGGGTGAGCATGGTGCTGACAACACCAAGTCAAGGGTTAAGATCCCCTTACCGGTCATCTTTTAAAAAAAAAAAAAAGAAGAAGAAGAAATAAATAAATATTTCAAATATA